CAACAGACTCCTCCCCCTCCTCATCCTACCTGGCACTGGTGTTCCATGGAATTTGGGGTCCATATCCATATTCAGTCATGGGCCCCAACCAAATTTGGAAAATCACAGAATCACTGAGGTTGGAAAAGACCTCCCAGACCATCGAGTCCCACTTGTGACCGATTCCCACCTTGTCACTCAGCCCAGAGCACTGAGTGCCATGTCCAGTCGTTCCTTGGTGACCACTGCCCTGGAGAGCCTGTTCAGTGCCCGACCACTCTCTAGGGACAGAACCTTTTCCTAATATCCACCTTAAACCTGCCCTGACACAGCTCCAGCCATTCCCTCGGGTCCTGTCACTGGTCACCGGAGAGAAGAGCTCAGTGTCTGCCCCTCTGTTTCCCCTTGGGAATGAACTCCTCAATGTCCCTCAGCGCTTTGGGAATACAGCCACCAACAGGTCCCACAACGCTGTGTTGCTTCATGTGCTCCTGGAACAAGCAGATTCGCTCGGATGCCAGTGGGATAAAGGCCTATGGCAACAACAGAAGGATTAAAATGAATTATTTCGCTGTGTAGAGCCTTTGCTCCCAGCAAAGGGTCAGAACATCTTGCACCGCTCTAAGTTTCTTCAGAGAACATATTTCATTCTTTATCCATGAAATGCTTTGCACAACACGGAGGCTCCACTGGCAACAGAGAGAGAGAAAGAAGGAATTTTGCACTCAGCAAAAATCAGGCCCAGCCTGAGGCATCAGAACTCGTTCTGGAGATGGGGAGCAGGAGGACAGACAGCCAAGTTATCCCTCTAATTGATCATAAAGTGTCCTGGCTTGTTTAAGTGTTCAATGCCTGAGGAGAGAGGAGGAGGAAGAGGAACAGTTTTACTGGCATTGCAACCTCAGATTATAAGCTTCTTGAAGTGCTCATCTTGGGGAAAAAAATAACCAACCCAAAAGCATAAAGCAGAAATTGCACATTCACAGAATCATGGAATGGTTTGGGTTGGAAGGGACCTTAAAGTTAATTTTGTTCCACCCCCTGCCATGAGCAGGGACACCTTCCACTAGACCAGGTTGCTCCAAGCCGTGTCCAACCTGGCCTTGGACACTTCCAGGGATGGGGCAGCCACTGGTTCTCTGGGCAACCTGTGCCAGGGACTCACCACCCTCACAGGAAGAATTCCTTCCTAATATCCAATCTAAACCTACTCTCTTCTAGTTTGAAGTCATTCCCCCTTGTCCTGTCACTCCATGCTCCTGCAGAAAGGAGCTCCTGTCACTCCATGCTCCCTCTCTGTCTTTCTTGTGAGCTCCCTTCCAGTACTGGAAGGTAATTTTTGCAATTCTTTCCAAAAAGGCCAATCCACATGTGACAATCCCACTGGAGCCTCTTCTCAAAGGTTCAAGAAGAAACTCTTGTCCCCGAGTCCACCAGTTTTACATCTTTGTTAAATTCTAACCCTCCTCATCCCCAGCAATGCCAGGAAATCCTCTGGCTTCTCCATGTTATCAGCCTTAAACTCTGCTGTTGTTTAGAGATCAGATTCAACCTTCCTGCTTTCAATGAATGGAAAGGGAATTTGTTTCCATGTTCCTGGCTATTTGCTGTTTGAGTTTTCTCTCATCCCTTCCACTCTGTAGGTCATGGTTTGTTCCTTCCTCCAGCCTCTACCCCAGGGAGCATCTACGCTGACAGACCAACCGGCATCTACTTGTAATTACTGACACTCTCAGCTCTGCCTTTGGCAAAGCTCCTTGCTGGTTACACAACCTCTGTGGACTAGTTTTCCAACCTCTGTGGAGCAGTTTTCCAGCCTCCCCAGCTCATTAATGAGTGTGGAGCAGGGCCGCGTGGGCTCTGAAGTGGCAGGAATGTTAACGGGCAGCTGCAGCCTGAGCCACCCCTGTGACACCTGGAAAGGCTGGACTTGCCAAAAGCTGGGATCCAGCAATTAGGGAAAGCCCAGAGTCTATAAATAGCCCCAGAGGTGAGTGCTATGGCACCACTGTGCATCCTGCTTCCCAGGAAGCACGGAGCAATCACAGGCGTTTCACACGTTAAACAAACTTGGGAGCTGTTTAATCCCAAACCTACCCCTCCGGAGAAAGGCATGGAGGGATCTGGAGAAAAGGTGAGACGGCTTGAACCGCTGCACTGCCATGAGGAAGTTGGGAGCCTGTCAAAAAAGGTTACCTGGGACACAGTGGCACAGCCCAGAGCCAGGTCGCACCACGAGCGTGGCGGAGGCTCCTGAGGAAATGTAAGTGCTGGTGGAGGGGATGTGTTCCCCAAGGGAGAAGGTGGAATTATGCTTTCACTTTGTTCAAAAGCTTTTCCTAAACTTGTTTCTGCAGATTTCTCCACAGACATCCACACACCCGCAGTGCTGGAGGAAGTGGTCACGATGACATGGTTGTCAACCACGAGAACTGAAGTCCCATCACAGGGGGTGGAATGAGATGGGCCTTAAGGTTCTTTCCAATCCAAACCAGTCTGGGATTCCATGGTCCTAGGATTAAGAGAACTTGGACAGCTGCCTTCATCAACACAGGGGTTTTGGGGTTAGTTGGTAAGTACTCCCATTAATTCCACTCTCCCCTGAGAAGGAGACACTGTGTGTAGGTGCTGACCAAAGATTTTTGGGGAGATTTTAAAGCTTTCTGCTCAGAACTAACTCCTCATTCGACCCAAACATTCCAAGAGCTTCTTGCCACCAGCCCTGCACAAATGAAGCCAGGAACAAGCTCTGCTTGCTGTCCCTCTGCCCGGCCCTACAGTCACCAATGCCTGTGTTACAGGGCAAGGCTGAGGCACTTCCAGCAGTAGATTCCCTATGATCTGCTTCTGGAAAGAACAGAATCAAGGAATGGTTTGGGTTGGAATGGATGTTAAAGATTATCTCACTCCAACCCCCTGCTATGGGCAGGGACACCTTCCACTAGACCAGATTGCTTCAAGCCCTGTCCAACCTGGCCTTGGACACTTCCAGGGATGGGGCAGCCACAGCTTCTCTGGGCAACCTGTGCCAGGGCCTCACCACCCTCCCACAGAACCATTTCTTCCCAATATCCTATCTAACCCTGCATTCCTTCAGCTTAAGGCCAATCCCTCATTTTCTGTCACTCCATGCCCTTTGAAAAATCCCTCTCCTTAGCAGACTTAAACCAAAAAAAAAAAAGGAAAGAGGTGCACCAAAGACTATTTTAAAATTACCAAGACTCATTTAAGGAGCCTGTTTTGGGGAGCCGAGTGGCATCTACAGCTCCCTTGTGTCACAGAGGGAAACAGGGGACCTGTATCCCCAAAACACATCACGAACACTGTAAATTCCATCTCTGGGCTCACACAGATGGTTTCATGGAGTGAGATGGATCCAATGTTGGTGAGCACAGCCACTACTCCTACCCAGCACCTCTTGGGTAGTAGCACTAAGAGCCCAAGCTCTCCCACACAAAGCCCTGCCCCATGACTCCATGAGTGCCAAGGGAAAGAGCAACCGGCAGGCTCAGCCTTGGGCGCAGCGATCCCGGTCACGGTCACAGTGACTGTTCGTGACTCATACCTTGAGCTGCCAACCAGCTGATGTCACTTTCATTGACATCATCTCCATCACATGGCTCTGGACAGCAAGATCTGCCCCATCACCACCCCAAGGAGAGCACAATCCAACAGTCAATGTGGTAATTAAGGTGCAGAAATCGTGGTTGTAAGTGAAGATTGTAATTAAACGTAGCATGTAATTAAATGGATTCCTATAACTGCTCTGGCACTGCTACTGCACCAAAGATACCTTCAAACCGTTCTGGAACTGTGACTTCCTCTTGGAAATGAGAGTCATGGTTAAAAATCAGCTTTCTTTCTAGTGATGCAAATAAAACTTCCAGGTCAGATTCAAGACTAAATTGTGAAACCACACAATCCCATGTGGCACCTCATTCCAGGCGTTCTTAGCCTTGCTCTTCATTAGAACAAACTCTTCCTCATGCTCATCATGTTTCACACCTTCCTCCAGTGCAGAGAAACAACACAGACATCAGGCAGAAGGAGAAGCTCCAATATGTCTTGGGAAACAGCTTCCCTGTACCCCTTTTGCTCCAACATTTGTGTGTCCACATGTTCCTCAACATGCTGTTGGAAGACTCCACCTGCCAGTCTTCCTAAGAAACTGCTGACCAGTTTTCCTGCAGGTCACGGAATCATGGAATGGTTTGGGTTGGGAAGGACCTTGAAGATCATCCCATGCCACAGGCAGAGACACCTTCCACTAGACCAGGCTCCGAGCCCTGTTCAAAATGTCCCTTAGCAAGAAATCTGATACTTTTCCATGATTCTGAACCAAAAGACATGAAATTAGAACGGCCCACCAGACAGGTTCCACATTCAGCTGGGATATCTATACAGTGCTTCACAAATAAATACTCCATATACACAGGTACTTAAGACAATTGCCAGAGAAACAAAATAGGAATCACATTCCTGGACTTTCAGTCTGTCTGGTTCCATTTTCTCTTTCACACAGGACAGAAACAGGACTTCCAGAAAAAATGGGCAGTCAGAGATAATAAACCCGACTCCACACTGCGATTCCACTGAGCAGAGACTCATTTCAAGACACACAGTCCCTTCACCTTTTCTTTTTGGAGTTGCACTTAATAAATCTCCAGACACTTTTGCTACCCACAGACTCCCAGCCCAGCCCTGGTTTTTGTCACAGACATTTGTCAAGGCCTCAAAGGGAGTCACCACAATCTGCAGGAATCCCTCAGCCTCCCAAAACCTCCTCCAGGTTCAAGGGAAGAGGGATGAGCCAACGATCTCCATACCCACATGCCAATGGACAGACACCCTCCTCTCAGAGTCTTGTTATGCACACTCAGCTCTCACTGATGTTTTAGCTCCACTTAGTGGCCACAAGGCTCAAGTAACTACTTTACTCAGGAGTTTCAAACAAGGATCTTCACTGGTATCAGCTCTAACATCACCTCAAACTCCAAATCCCAATCCCAGCAAACACTTACCTTGGTAGCAGCGGGGACCGGGGCTTTGGTTTGTCCTTGTCTTTGTCCCGCTCCCGGTCCCTGTCCCGGTCTCGGTCCCTGTCCCGGTCTCTGTGCTGTCTGTCCTTCTCATCCCTCTTCACTCGCTCTCTCTCCCGTTCCCACTCTTCTTTCCGCCGCTGCCGCTCCTTGTCGCGCTCCCGCTCCCGTTCCCGCTCTCGTTCCCGCTGGCGCCGCTCCCGTTCCCGCTCTCGCTCCCTCTCCCGCTCCCTTTCCCGTTGTCTGTTCTCTCTTTCCCTTTCCCGTTCTCGCTCTCTTTCCTTTAAAGAAACAAGAGAGAAATCATCATGATGCTGTGGAAACATCTCCTAACAAAGCAGGCAGTAAATCTGGACTGCAAGGAATTACATCCACCCTCCCATGTCAGAGCAAAAGACTGGGATGAATAATCTGGAGATCAATAATCTGGATACAAAGAATCTGGAGATCAATAATCTGGAGCTTGCTGAGCAGGCAGAACCTGGACATAAACACACCACCACATCATATCCATCACAGTTGGCATTTTCAAAGGCAACAGTCAAATTAATTTGGTTTATTAAGCTTATTAAATAAATGTATTGATGTTTACAAGTCTTTTATTGCTAATAATTTTTATAACAAGCTAATTAACTTTACAAACAAGCACTATGAAAATAATTGGTGGTGCATCATGTGCGACCACAGTGAGAACCAGCCCCTGTTTCTGCACAAGAACAAGGTTTTATTGCAAAAGGAAAATCAGTTTTTAAAGGATTTGATGAAAACCACTGAAAAATTACCCACTGGGTAGGACTGATTATTTTGGCCCCTACTCCATAGGCACAAAGTCTGCATGAGGGCAAAACGAAGAGGACAGAAAGAGGTTCAAGAGTCTTGTTTTCATTGAGTTCTACTCCTGGTGGAACACCAACCAACAGCACCTGGAATTTTAGCACCTGGTTGGTGCTTCGTTGACTCAATCCCCAACATGCAGCTCCACCAGCAGTGAACAGTCATGCCAGGGCCTCTGTGGGTGCAAGAGCACACCTGCCCAAATCTAATCCTTTCCATCATTCCCAAGAATTAACAAGCAAACTGTTCCTCAGCCAGGTTATTTCCTGGAAACTCCCTCCCTCTCCAAAATGTCCAAGAATGGCTGCAGATGTGGCTGCAAGCACTGACAACTTCTTGGTGCACTGAGGAGCAGCATGAGGATGCATGAGGAAGAAACACCTTCGCATCTCAGACACGGAATTGCTAAGGTTGTAAAAGACCTTTAAGATCATAAAGTCCAACCATCAATCCAGCACCAGCACCACGGTCACCACTAACCATGGCCCCACGTGCCACATCCACATGGCTTCCAAAGACTTCCAGGGATGAGGACACCACCACCGCCCTGGGCAGTCTATGCCAGGGCTGGACAATCTTTTCCATGAAAAAAATTTTCCCTATTATCTAATCTAACCCTCCACTGGTGCAACCTGAGGCCATTTCCTCTCATCCTGTCCCTTGTTCCCTGGTGGTAGAGCCTGACGCCCACCTGGCTTCACCCTCCTGTCAGATAGTGTGAAGGTCCCCCCTGAGCCTCCTTTTCTCCAGGCTGAGCCACCCCAGCTCCTTCAGCTGCTCCTGGTGCTCCAGACCCTTCCCCAGCTCCGCTGCCCTTCATTGAGCTCCAGCCTCTCAATGTTTGTCTTGTCCTGAGGGGCCAAAACTGATCCCAGAATTCCAGGTGTGGCCTCACCAGTGCCCAGCACAGAGGGACAATCACTGCCCTGGTCCTGTAGCCACACTGTGGCTGGTACAGCCCAGATGCCATTAGCCTTCTGGGCCACCTGGGCTCATGTCTAGCTGCTGTCAACCAGCACCTCCAGGTCCTTTTCCACCAGGCAGCTTTCCAGCCACTCGTTCCCAAGCCTGGAGTGCTGTTTTTGCCTTTGTGATGCTGGAACAGAACATCCTCCCATCCCTTCCCTTACAGTGTGCTCTGTGCTGTAATTAAATCAAGATTTAACTACTTGCAAGATTAAGCGTCTTGAAAAGTCCTGTTTCAAGCACTGCGCTGGAAACATGACAAGGAGCAGAAGAACCTGGAAGAGAGTTGGAAGGAAAAGCGTGGGAAGGGGAGTTACCTTACTTACTCGGTAGTTACGGTATGGATCTGGGTCTGTGTACTGAACCCTGAAATTCTCATACTGCCCACCACGCCAGAACCGTTCTATTTCATAGTCATAATAGGGATCTGAATAGGGATCAAGCCTACAATGAAAAACAGGGAATGTTAGAGAGGGAAATGTCACCTTGTCGCCATAAACACTACAAATTCTAGGTCAGGTCTTAGTCACTGTGACAAGAAAAAACACGTTCAACGGAGCACGACCATACAGAGATTTATTTTCTACACATCCCAACCAGACAGTCTTTTTTAAGTGAAGCTTATCAGAGAAAAGCACAAACCTTTCTTGATAAACACCAAAAAAAGAACCAAATTCAGCCTTCAAATCAATGTGGGAAAAACACAGCAACTGCTTTTTATAGCCAATTCCAACGTCTGCAAAGGGAACAGGATGTGTTTTGCCTCATTGATTGAGAGCTGGGTTTTCTGTCCATGCACCTACAGCTAATCCCCAGCACCCTCAGGAGGGAAAGGTATGATCTCCTAATTCCCTGCCACGGGAGTGATGGGTGTATCCCAGTGCCACCAGTACAGGACATGAGCTGTGCTGAGCTTTCCACTGGGAGAAGTGGAGTTTCGGGGCAGGGCAGCAACACTCTGTCCCTACACCTGGAATTACTCCATGGAATGAAGGCAACCACTTCTCCAGTAGGAATCAGGTGCTGGCCCTCCAGCACATCAGTGGATGGTGAGCATGTGGCACACGCTGCTCAACTGCCAAATTTATAACTTTCATGGAGGAAAAGGATTTAAAACCCACCCTCCTTAAATCTGTTTCCGCCAGTTGATTTTTATTAACATTATTTGATGTTTTTAATTCCCAAACTCAACAACATCCAACCACCTGGAGTGTAAATATCACTGTAAAGATGGGCAAGTGGGTACAGGGAACAGGAAACTTCCAGGGCCACAGAGGAGTTAGTGGCAGAGCTAAGATTATAAAGCAAGTGCTCCCAAATTCCAGATTATCCATAACAAGACTGATTTATAAGTAAAAGGAAAAAAAGGCTCTTTTTTGCATTTTAAAATGTGCCAAATAACCTAAACCAGGCTAAGATGTAAGTGCTGCCCTGTGAGTCAAGAGGTACCGGTAATTTCTTTCAGTGCTTTAAAGTGGTTTAAAATTTTTATTTTTGACTGAAGCAAAAAGCCAAGGGAAAGACAACCAGGGAATCTTGACTATGGATGCTTAACTCAGCAACAGACTCCTGATGCCAACCAGAAAACGGTCTGGATTCAGTGACATCAGGTGTTCAAAGAGATACAAAAAGTCTCAAGCCACGCCAAGAAGGAAACTCTACTTTTTAACATGGCCTCAAGCCCAAATTTCCCCCTCCTAACTTGTGGAGTTTGTTAATTTAAAAAGGATCACTGCTGTGTGTTTAGGTAATTCAATGCTTAAATCCTTTGAAAATAATTGGTATCACCCCCAAAATAATCCAATCCATCCATTCAGTCAACAACCTGCCCAGCACAGCTGGGACAGGGCTCTGTGGCCTCGGAAGTTTTAACAAGTGCAATGGAAAAAGGAAAAGGAATTTTTTCTTACAGTTGCAACAGTACTGGAATCAGAGACCTGCTTACCCATAGTTAATGTTTTCTTTGATGTCCACCTCCCTATAGTTATTCAAAAAAGAAAAAGGGATTCATGAACTATTTAGACAACTCCACATGTCACAAGACATTCCTGAAAGCATTTATCCATATCCCAGCTGAGTATTTCTCCACATCCCAGCTGCACCTCCAGAGCTTAGTTTGCTGCAAGGTGTCAAACTGTGCAATAAATTGTGTGTATCTGAGAAAAATCACCATTTTCTAGAGTTTGCAGCAGCAGCAGCTTCATAACTTTTGCCTTTACACACAATGAAGGTATTTTGATGCCACAGTCTGCTTATACATCCTTGAATTTTCACGAATTCCAGTTGTTTGATGACTTATGTCTAACACTGGCTACATACAATGTATTTTTTTTTGACTATATGAAAACCAGTCCTGTGCTTAAAACAATTCCTACATCAGTGAGGCCCAGATGCTGATGGTGGTTTTCACAGACAGTCATAAAAATAAAGATGATTTATGAACAACCCCCAGAGCACTGGGGATAAATCCCAGGTGCCACTCAAAGCCTTCTCAGAGGAGCAGAAAACCAAGAGCTATTTCAACCCAGGAAAATATTAATTTTTAAAATTATTTTGTTTCAGGCTGTAGAACTGAGGTTTTTCTTTAAATCAGGGAAAGGAATTCCACTCCAGAGCAAATCAAAGAATATGGAACAAAACCTACTCCTTACTCCTTTCCAGAGTTTTATTGCAATTCTTTCACTCTAAAATAGAACCAAGCCTTGCAAGCACTCTCTGAGTGGAAATATTTCCATTATCTGTCCGTGTAGGAAGAACAGAGGATGCATGAGCAAGGAAAGACAGATTCAACTGCATTCTTGCAGAATACAAGCCCCTCTCTCAAAAATTCTCTTCCCATTCCTTTTCTTGGCTTAAGAACTACTAAGCAAGTTTCCCAGAACTGAGTCTCCAACATTTTAAGTTTTACCTCTTTAAAAAACCCATCATGTACACACTTCAATTTAGGCTGCTTGTTTTGGCCTGGTAACAGCTTTGTTTTCTGATATTCAATGTCTTAGTGTCCAGTTTATCTGGGACCAGTTAAGATGTTTGTTAAGACCAGTTGCTGCACCAAGGGCCTTGCAAAGAAACCCCCAGCTGGGTCCAACCACTGCCTGCAGCCCTTGGACACTGAACACACTCCAACTTTGCAGCCTCAGCTTTAATATCTTAAAATTCTCATGGTTGAGACAAGAAAAAAATGAGGAAAACCAGCCAGAAGAATCACTGGTGTGAGGTAGGCAGAGCACAACTGGACAGTGTCCATGAGGAACCAGAATGCCAAGAGATTGAAGGCAGGAAGGTTTAAAGACCACTGGGGAGGGAAGGTGGGGTTGAACTGGAGCGAGTGGAGGCAGCTCAAGTTTTTAACCTCTGTTCATCCTGCTTTATGGAAGCTACTCCCAGCTTTTGAGGTCAGCATTCCTCCAACTTGGAGGAACAAGTTAACTAAACACTGCCTTACTTCACTGCATTTCCCACCCATCTATTCCATGGAGCAAACCCAAGACTGAGCCTTACGCTGGATCTCGGACGTCTCTGGTGATGCGATAATTCCAGTCGCGGAAAAACTCGTTTTCCTTGTCAAACTCCCGCTCGTCTTCTCCAATAGTCACAGTGAATCTCTTCTCCTCAAAGTCAGGCTCCTGTTCCTTTCTCATAGTTGCTTTTTTTAATACCTGTCATAACATAAAAACAGCGTAAAGAGAGAATTGTAATATCAAAAATCCTTCACCTGGGAGAATCCCTTCAACTAAAGCACCTTCTTCTGCCTAAGCCTCAGAAAGTGCAGGACACTGGACTTTTCTTGATGTAGAAAGTGTAATTTACTATTCCATCAGCTCAGAACAGCAGGAAGTAGAAGTTTCACCCCTGCTGAGCCCATTTCTGCAGTGATCAGACACACAAACAGACACCCAAGTGAGGGAAACTGGATAAGCTTAAAGCTTTACTTTGCCAAGGGCTTGACTTCAAGGCCACAAATTCCCTATATTCTTTAAATACAAAAAAAACCAAATCTGGATATCAGCTCCTCCTGGCTGTCTAACAAGTATGATATACAACAAAACATAATTAAGAGATTAAAAGGCAAAAGGAGGAGAGAAAGAGGAAGACACTCATCCTCCCAAAAGAACTCTTCCAGCACCCTGTTCCCAAACAGGCCAGTGGATTTTGGAGACAGTCAAGAGCTCCCTGAGGAAAATATTTACCTCTTTAGCATGCCGGAGTCCTCTCTCCCAGGCACTTTCTGTTGGAGGGTCTGGAGGAGGCGGAGGTAAGATTTCATCAACCACTGGCCCTCCCTGTCAGAAAAGTGAGGAGAGGAAGGACATAGAACTTGAGTTAGTTTTAAGCAGCAAACTTAAGCTCTGTGAAGTTACCCCAGAGTATCTCCAGATACTCCAGACATTCCTCAGCAGGATATAGCTGGGAAACACATGGAAAATTATTCCCCTCTATATGTAACTCCAAGATCACCTTTTAAAGATCACATATCCAATTATGGATTGAATTTTGCTTAAGTATTAGCTCAAAAAAAAAATCTTCACTTCTCTTAGAGCAGGAGAAAAGTCACAGAATCATGGAATGGTTTGGGTTGGAAGGGACCTTAAAGCTCATCTTGTTCCACCCCCTGCCATGGAAGAGACACCTTCTATTAGATTGGGTTGCTCCAAGCCCCGTCCAACCCAGCCTTGAACAGCTCCAAGGATGGGGCAAGTGGTACAGAAGCCATAAATCCATTAAAAGAAGTCCATACCCAAGGGTTGGCTGGCATCAGAGGGTGAGGGCCAATGGGAGGGGCTCCGTTGGGGGAGAAGGGTTCAGGCTTGGAGATCAAGGAGTAGTTTCCTTTGTCATTCACCCCGGGGTGAATAAAGCGACAGTTCATGCCCCAGGTGCAGTGACCTGTGGGAACACAATGCTGTTAGATCCCTGTGTGCTGTCAGCCAGCATCTGTTCAGCCCCACAGCCATTAAAAAACCCACCAGCCATTTAAAATCCATCAAGGAACAGTGTTGTTTGAGAGATCTGACTTTCCTTCTCTCCAACTTTGTCATGATTTACCTGTTTTCACACACATGGAAAAACACTCATCATCCCCCACCCTCACAGAGAGGACAAATAAATCCAGACACAGATGGATGAATGTACAAGAGCCTTATTATGGTGGGGAGAAGAGAGGGATGGATGGACACACACCATTAATTAAATGCAGGAATGAGCTTGTGAGCTCCTCGAGTCTTGTTAACGGCAAACACTTCCAATTAGGAGCTTTACCTGATACAGAAAACCCTAGGGTAAAGAAAGCACCAGAGTGCATCCCAAATAAACAGCTCTCTGGAGAGGCAGGCAGTAGAATCATGGAATGGTTTGACACGAAGGGACCTTAAAGGGATATCATTCCCACCCCCTGCCATGGGCAGGGGCACTTCCCACAAGCCCTGTCCAACCTGGCCTTGGACACTTCCAGGGATGGGGCAGCCACAGCTTCTCTGGGCAACCTGTGCCAGGGCCTCACCACCCTCACAGGGAAGAATTCCTTCCCAATATCCCGCTGCCCTCTGGCAGTGCCTGAGACTGAAGTGTAGGGGCTGAGACACTTTACCCTGCCACAGGGCTCTGCCATCTATGTCAAGGTGGCCACACATGAAGCTCTGCAAGCTACTCAGGCCATAGCCACAGCAAAGACAAAATTCCCAATGCCTTCCCATCCCCACGTGAGCAGCACCTGCCCTTCCCAGTGACAGCCCTGCCTTGAGGGGTGAGCAGGAGCAACATTCCCTGACCCAATGCCAAATCAAAGCACAACAACTGGGGCAGATCCTGCAGCCTGAACTTTGACCCTGGCAAATATTCCAGGCTCCATGAGGTGTGTGTCACATTAAAGCATCACGAACAAACAGCCCTCCCTGCCCAGGGACTTCCCAGTTCCACCAGTAGCACCAACACGCCTGTGTCTCGGCACAGGCACCATGTTTGCCACCGGAGGACATCCAGGAAGCCAATGTGGGATATCTGTGGCTCTGGAAACCCCCACATTGCACAGGCCACTGACGCAAGGAACGGAGACTCCACCCGGGGCTCCACCCTTCTTTTCATTTCAGATTTTCATGAATTGTCTCAAGGGAGATTGTAAATAAAAGCAAATAGATGAGCAAACATTGAGATAATCTGAAGGAAGTGAGAGGTATAATCAGTTTAAATAAGAAAAGTTTTATAAAACCTCATGTCTACACTAAAAAAAAGGCAGGATAATCTAAGACAGCTGCCACACAGTTGCACAAACTTTAGGGAATGTCCTATTAAGAGGAATTACAAAAAAATAGAATCATGTAATGGTTTGGTTTGGAAAGACCTTAAAGCCCACCTCATTCCTTCCTCCTACCATGGGCAGGGACACCTTTCACTAGACGAGGATGCTCCAAGCCCCATCCAATCTGGCCTTGGGCACTTCCAGGGATGGGGCAGCCACCACCTCTGTTCTTTTCCAAAAACAACAGCAAGTTTTCCTTTATTTGCTTCTTCCAGGGTCACCACACTCCAGGCAAAGCCCTTTTTGCATAGTGGTGGCTCTATGTAAATTCAGCACTGGCCACCAAGGAACAGGAAGGTGACACTGAGGACACCTGGGGCAGAATTAATCACGTAAGAGCAGCTTAATTGGTGAACAAAACCCAAACAAGACAAATTCCTTTGGTTCCCTCCCACCACCAGTGTCACTACCTTTCATGAAGAACCGGCAGGTGGGACGTGGTCTCACTTTTCTGTCATTGGGGTCTTTAACTTCTCCTTCCTCCAAGTCATCGTCCTGGAACAGACAGACAAGCTGACATTTCACATGGTGCATTTTCTGCAGCGACTTGACATTTCACAACATGGTCAAATATCAGTCACTGAAAACACACCCTGGAGCAAAGATACAAGAGAAAAACAATACAAAGTTACAAGAAATCCCCCCCGAGCATCTTCAGGACCTGATGCTAAAACAGGGAAATGCAATACTTTTGGTGTTTCAAAGGTAACACCAGAGAATCACAGGATCATCCAGGCTGGAAAAGATCTGCAGGATCACTGAGTCCAACCTGTGACTGACTCCCACCTTGTCACCCAGCCCAGAGCACTCAGTGCCACGTCCAGTCCTTCCTTGGACACCTGCAGGGATGGGGACTCCACCACCTCCCTGGGCAGCCCCTTCCAATGCCTGACCACCCCTTCCATGAAGAAATACTTCCTGATGTCCAACCTGAACCTCCCCTGGCACAGCTTGAGGCTGTTTCCCCTTGTCTTGTCACTGGCTGCCTGGAGCAGAGGCCTTCAGGTGTTTGGACATCCTGAGGCTGCACCACAGATCAAGATTTTAAGCTGCATCATTTTACCTGATATATTAAAGGCTCAAAATCACAGGTGGATCAAGATCCTCCACCTCAGCTCGCCAAGCCTCGCTGTGTGCTTTGAGCTGACAGCAAATCCACCGCAGTTAGAGGCAGCTTCTTACTTTTTTGGGTGAAATGAGCTAAATTTTGTCACCTTTCCTTCCCAGAGTCCTTCAGAGCCTTTAAACTGCAGTGTCCCCGCTCAGCACACCTGCCATCCCTGTTTAGCTCAAGCCAACTCCTTCTGGTCATTGATTTTAAGTATAGAGGAGTATTCCTTCATTTAGGCAATAACTCAGTTCAGACATCCATCTATACCCCAAATTCTGAAGGATAACTGCTGTTACAATAAATTAATTATAAAATTAAGATGCTTCCCCATAATACTGAGTGATAATCCTAGAATCATGGAATGGTTTGAGATGAAGGGACCTTAAAGCTCATCCCATTCCACCCCTTGCCATGGGTAGGCACACCTTTCACTAGACCAGGTTGCTCCAAGCCCTGTCCAACCTGGCCTTGGACACTTCAGGGATGGGGCAGCCACAGCTTCTCTGGGCAACCTGTGCCAGGGCCTCCCCACCCTCATAGGAAAGGATTCCTTCCTAAAATCCAATATAAATCTCTCTTCTTTCAGTTAAAGCCATTCCCCCTTGTTCTATCACTCCATACCCTTGTTCAAAGTCCCTCTCAAGTGTCAATTTTGCACACAAGCTTTTCAGGATAAGTCACGCATATTTTTCCAGTCCTCTCCAGCACATACTTGACACCTTCCCTTCCACTCCTCAGCTCCACACAGGAGTTGTGAACCAGCTCAAACAAACTCTGCGTCATCCCCAGGCACAGCAGCCCCAGAAAGAAATTCTGGGAGCTGGAGGTTGCTCCAAGATTAAGAACCGCAGGGAACGAGCGTGAAATAACAAAACACCTCTAGAAGTTACTGGAACTTTAAAGCACCAGCCTTTGCCTTTGTTCTCCAGGGAAAAAAAACAATCTTTCCCAGCTTTACTAGGCTGCACCTGGAAAGCCAAAAGGAGCTGGTGATGCAGAAGGCAAAGGTATAAATGACCAGAGAGCTGTCAGAGGTCATCAGGAAAGGAAATCACGTTTTTAGGATAAAAGACACCCAGATCTTCCCTCCCTCTGCTTCCATTTCTCTGTTTCCAGCACTTGAAACACATCTGGAGAGGGAGAATCTGGATGGGCCTTGCCTGTGCCTGGCAATCAGAGCGACAGCAGTTTTCTGTGCGGAAAAGATGAGGAAAATTCCCTACTTTGATAAATTCAGCAGTTGGAAAGGAGGAAAAACCCATCACCTGGCTGTAGATAAACGAAGGATTGACAGAGAGGCGGGTTAACAGCTTCTCCTACTGCATTCCTGAGGGCCAAACAGGGAGAGCTCTCCTGAACAGCAATGGATTTAAAAGCCCACACTTATATTCCAATTAAAATTTGCATTAATATTCCCCTCCCTCCACACCAGGAGTCTGAAAGCAGAATAAAATGCAGAGATCCCCAAAGCTGGGCATGGCATTCAGTGATCCATGAATGGAATAACCAGCTCCACTCTGCTGCTTTCAAAAGAACTGTGTGAAGTCTTGAACAAAAGGGAAGTATTTATTCCTGTGAGGTCTCCTTGGAATCAGGCAGCTGGGAATGCTGTTATGAGTTAATGTATGAAAACCAGGGTACAGATTCATCTTGTGCTTTGTAAGGACAGTGTTCCCAGGAATGCCCTGGACTCTAAAGGACAGCATTCATATTTTAATCAAGGAGCAACCATGGACTCAGTACTCCAGAAATTTTTTTTCACCCCACAACGCACTGGAATTCCTTCTAACTCAATCAGAAACACAAAAAACCTTTGGAAAGCACATGTTTAACAAAATCACCTGCCAGAATGGACAGGATGAAGGAAAATTCCACCATTTTTTAAAGCAACTAAACTTGTCAAAGCACCATTAAGAGTAAAAAATACCCCAAATATGGTTCTTCAATAAAGAGGGAGAAGGGTCTCTCCACTGAGGCTCAATGAGCTCCCCAAGCATGTGGCCAGGTCAGATGCACAGGAATGGGGACTGAAGGACACACCATCTACTCTCTTCAGTTGAGAAGTCTGGAATTCAGACTGAATTTCAGACCAGGAGCCCAAAGGAGGGTTTTTACTGCTGGAATCACTTAGTGCTGTTTTCATCTGCCTGCAAGAGGGAAATTGGTATTAAGCTGCATTAAACAACTGCTGCACTGCAGAGTTTCCCACCTGAAGACAAACATGGATATAGATGGTATTTTCCCTAATTCCCACGGCAATTAAACCCCATTTTTGATTTTTTTGAATAGTTGTATTTGTTCAGGGCTGTGAAACAGGACTGCACATCCCTGAACACATTCCTGAACCACATGTTAGGTGTTTTCCAGAAAGCCCAGCACCTTCCATTCCTCTTTCACACATCCAGATGCTGCTAGATCCCAACAAACAGTTCAGGCTCAGGGGTCTCCCACACACACTTGAAGAGCTGAGCACCACAGCCACTCCACAGCATCAAATCTAAACTGATGAGGCAGCTCATGGACACCTAATCCCTGGTTCAGGGAGTTGCTGGCAGCATCATTCCCAAGTCCTCTGGGAGCTGAGGTGGAACAGTTTCTTAAAGCACTGGAGCCCTTTCATATCCAAAGGTAACAATGCTCTTTTGGGATGTCTCTGACAATAATTGGCACAAAGCTTTGGGACAGCACATGGACCAGGGCTCAGTCCATGGAGTGGTCTTACCTCCAGGGAAAAGGGTGTTCCTGGCACACCTGGGACACAGCTAACACGGATATTCCTGTCACAGGAGGAAGGAATTGCAATCTGGGAGCCACACAGCTCTGGAACATGAGCACAGGTCTCTCCCTGCAGGACTCTGCCCACTTCCTACTTACATCAATTTCTCCATCATCAATTTCTCCATCATCTTCTTCTTTTTTCTTCTCCTTGAGGGAATCCTGGCCATCCTTTTCATCGTCACTTTTGCCGCTGGATTTTTTCTCATCTTCAGCTGCATCATCTCCTTTCTCCTCTTCCTCATCATCCTCCCCAGCAGCTTTCTCCCCATCCTCCTCCGGAGCAGCGGCACTGGCTTCCTCGGGCACTTCCTCATCATAGTCCAGCTCATGCTCATCCAGCTCCCGGGTGACCGAGGACGCTTCATCTCCGAGGTCATTTGTCCTGTCTTCTTCCTCTCCTTTCCGGGGCCGGGGGCTCTTCAGCTCCACACTCTGCTCGTTGGTGTCGGATTCCTGAGACTTGGCCTCACTCAACCGATCCTCCTCATCCGAATGGTTCTCCTCCTCCCTGCGGCTCAGTCCCCTGCCTGGATCCTCCTCCTCGCCCAGGACACTGCCTTGTCCCCCCTCTCCATCGAGTTCCCGGTCTGAGCCACTCTCCTTTAGGACTTCCTCATCGGAAAGCTGCTGGTCCTCTTCCTCAGGAGAGCAGGGGTTTCGCTCAGGGCTGTCGGAAACGTCCATCAGTACCCAAAGGTCTGCAGGGGAGAAAACAACTCTGGTTATGGGGAAAGACTGGGAAATCAAGGCAGGCTCAACTTGAAGGACTTGTACTCCAGTGTTTTACCTCCTAAAGAAGGAAAAGGTTGTTTGAATTCCTGAAAAGCCAGGCTGGATGGGGCCCTAGCACAGGTTGTTCAGAGAAGCTGTGGCTGTCCCATCCCTAGAAGAATTCCAGGCCAGGTTGGATGGGCTTGGAGCAACCTGGGATAGTGGAAGGTGTCCTTGTCCATGGCAGGGGGTGGAACCAGATAAGCCTTAAGGTCCCTTTCGTTCCGGGATTCCATAAATTTATGAACATGGTTTCTCATAGCATCTTCATGAAGGAAACACACTTCAAATTGCACAAAGAACTGATTCCAATACTGTCCCAGCATGGAGTGTGCTACCCTTCGCATACAACCATGGAGCTTGGGGTTGGGATTTCACAGAATGGGACTGGAAGGGACCTTTAAGCTCATCTGGTTCCGCCCCTTGCCATGGGCAGGGACACATTCCACCAGACCAGTATCTAACTATGCTCTACTCAAGCCCTCAAAGCTGCACAGATATCAATCAACTAACTGATTAACACAGTGATGATCTCAATATCAACAAGGCCCAGAGAAGCAGAAAAGTCTCATTTTGAGCTTCCTACCAGCTCCTCTTGTTTCTCTGCACATCTGAAATTGGTTCTTGCTCACAAGTTTTGATTTCCTGAAAAATTCAAAGCCAAATTAAAGGCATCAGTTCCCTCCTGGTGCCAGAGGCTCAAGCAGTTCAACAGGACGTATTTGAAGCAAATTATACCCTTAGTGAGCACACAAAGCTTGATGTCGAGTTCATAAATCCTCAGACAAATTGTTATTGGCTTCCAGAGCGAGTTTAGAGCAGGGATTTTAACTGCCCAAGTGCCTGAGAAGTTACTTTGTGTGAACATGAAGGTCAGCCCAGAGGGGCCACCAGAAATATCAAAGCTGTCAGGGGCACATGGAATCAGGAAATTTGTTCTCTGATTTCTTGCAAATAAGCAGCACCAAAACAAAAAAGCATTTAAGTGAAGCAAATGCCTTTTTGTGTTTGACATCAAGACCTTCAGAGGGATGGGGGGAAACAAATATGTTCTGCCCACCAGGTCAAGGATGAGGATAAAATATTCACCTCCACAGCAGTCATTAAAGCTCTTATGAAAACCCAGAGCATCCATCAGTTGTAATAATTTCCTATTAATTTCCATCAGCAGAAATGATAAGAAACACAATAAATGATGGTCTAAGAGAAAAGGTTTCACAAAATCCAGGCAGTGGGGTCTTTTGAGATGTATTTCCCTGGATTCACAGCAAGTTTCCCTTTGACAACAGGATTTACAACCTCCCTGGTGCCTCTCTCTGCATTTAAATTTCCTCCATCACCTCTTATTCCAAATTATTTTAAGGAGAGCTCAGCCAGTCTCCAGAGGTTGTTGCTCCAAGTTGCAGGAAAAGATTCTCTAAAACCAACGAGCCAAATTCTGGCTTCAATCTGTACCTGCCGCAAGGCAAAGCCAAGATGTTTAAAGGTAAAATCAGTAGCAGGAAAAAAACGTGGGAGATAGGAATTCAAAGGAAAACTGCCTGACTAATGATGGAACAGGACAGCAAGTTTAATTCCAGTTTTAAGCACATGTCCCAAGTGCTGTCTCAGAATAATCTGCAAATCACATCTTATTCCAAATCTCTGTAACCCTGGAAAGTTTTTCTGAGGTGGTTTTTCAATCTGCAAGTCAAAATTTATCTCAAATTTCTGAAATCATGAAAGGTTTTTCTGAGGTGTTTTTTCTTAATCTGGAAATCAGAATTCATCTCAAATCTCTGGAATCCTGAACTGTTGTTTTTGAGGTTTTGGGGGGGAGAATTGTTTCGGTTTTTTGTTCCTTTGTGACTCTTTTATTGCTTTCTGCTTCTCCTTTACTTACACATAAAGACAAATATCATAAAAAACCACGAAAAATGACTACACAGAAATATTTTAAATCAAGCAACACTGACTTAAGTGGCAGAGCAGAAACTCCCAGACTTCACCCCCATCATAAACTTGGATTTTTTTGCGCCTTAAAACCAAACCAGTTTCTTCCTTTCTTCAAAACCAGTTATAAAAGCAAAAAATTAACTTCTGACCCACAGATAAGATCATCTGACTTGTAGCTTAGGCAAGAACCGGGGATTTAATACTACTTCTCAAGAGCAGCCTTTTATCTTTTAAAATCTTTAAAATTCAGGCAAAGGTGCCTCTGGTTCCAGCTGCACAACCCTCTCTGGTACAAAACTGGCTTCATTTGCTCAAAGTGTGTCAAGTATTCCTTTCCTGCATGTTTGAAGCTGCCTGGATCAGCACAGGGCACTGGGAATTTCATCCAGGCTCACAAAACCCTCGTATTTCCAGCCTTTCCATGGTGAGGTTTTGGAGCATGTGCAATAATAAGGTGCATTTTCAGCCCCAAAAGTGTCTTTTCCTGTCTCTGGAATCACTTGTACAAGGCTCAGTGAGCTGAAAGCCTCTTCAAAGCAGGTCACACGTTCTCAGGGAAGAAACTGAGGATTTGGCAGCTAAAATTCCCCACCATCCTCCCTGGTGGGAGCCAGATGGCACTTGCTGTTCCCACAGGTAGAGCAAGACTGTCCCTCCAGCTGTTCCCTCTGGATTCTTGAGCCCCCAGTCAGTCTCTGTGTCCCTGCCAGTGCTGGGTTCCAAAATATAAAGTGGAGAACAACAAGAGACCTGGGGCTTCATCCTCTTGTTTTTGAGTCGGGAAAGAGAAGCTTTTAATTACACAACTAAAGAGACAGAGCCAAAGTTCCAGAGTCTGAGCTCTGGAATAATTCAAATTAGGGAATGAAGCATTAATTGCTCCTTAATTGATCAGTGTTTCATGGCTTGCACAAGGTGGAACAGAGATGCTCTTTCTACTGCCTATCCTCATCTGCAAGGACCTGGATGCACCATGGAAATGTCCAATTTCTTCCCACTAAAGTCTCACAGTTCTACTGGAAATATTTAAAACTACAGATTTCCACCCTAAAAAGGGGAGGAGAAAATTAAAGAGATGCTACAGAAATTTAAATTCATCTACTTCAGTTCCTTTATAACACATTTTTTCCAAAGTTTAATGATATCCAAGATTTTTTAAGTTAAAGCACAGCAGTGAGTTTAAGAAGCCTTTGACATGGCTCAAAAGGCAGTGAGAGAAAAGCCCTTTGTCACTTAAGTTGCTTTTTAAAACTCCACTTCAATATTGAAAGTTAATCCCAGGATACATTTTAAATAATATTTTTAACCTTTCACTTCTGTCAGTTGATTTGTCCAAGGCCAAAAGCAGGAGTCAGAGCTGGAATTCTGAGCAGCTCTTGTTGCAAGATCAGGCCCAACTCTTTCACTCCTGTTAATTAAACAGCACCAAAAGGTGCAAAATTAGAAGGAAGAAATTTCAACGGGTTTTAGACTTACACCTTGGACACTAAGGCACTGCAGGTTTGGAATGGATGATCCTGGGGGTCTTTTCCTTCTGGATTTGTGGCTCTCAATGCTGCCTGGTGCTGGCAGGAGGCTCAAATCCTGCTCCTTATTGCTCTGTGCTGTTCTGGTTTCAGTTAAATCTCATTAAAAGTTTGAGCAGCTTCTCCAATTAAGCCAAATTTAAGCTTTGTGTACAACTAACTGACCTGCTGCTGCAGGTGCTAAACTGGGAGCAGGTGAACTGGAACCAGTATGGAAGGGATGGCAGCACCTAAAGGATAAAGCTGTGAGTTATGAGGGATTTGGAACAGCCACTAAGAAAAAAGTACTCCTGGGAAGCATTATTTCCATTCATTAAATTCCTCCCTCCATAGCTGAGCCTTTATATAGTGAATAAAAAGCTTTTCCCATAATTTTTTACCCAATACACCCTGGATATAATACAGGAACTGATGGTTCCAGCACCTCTGGTGGAGCAGGAAGGCACCAAGTACCTATAAAAACCTGGAGCTTGACAGTGCCACTAGTTGCAGCCTTAAATCCTACAAATTTTCAGGAATATGGCAAGAACCAAGTGCATTCCCAACTTCTGTCTCTTCCAGCAGTGACCTCACAGCCCTGGGGGGGGTCACAGGATGGATGGAAAGGAAAGAAGTGAGGAAGCTCTTTGCTTCAGGCTGAAATCTTTGGGATAAAAGGATAAAACCACCTTTCTAACAGTGAAATAGCTGATGCAAAATGGAAATGTTCTGGAGCAGGGTCTAAGTTCAGCCAGGAAAAACGAGGGAGGTCAGGAGAGTGAATGGGAATGTGCTGACAGGACAGGTGAGGAAAGAAAGGCAGCACAAAAGATTTAGGGAACAAAGACCTGGGAAAACTGAGGCAAAGCAGAAACAAAGGGCAGGAACCACCACAGGGAAAAATATGGAAGAGCAGCGACAACAGGAGGAGAAGGGAATGAAGTGCCTCAGGATCCAGGAATGGAGCAACATGAAACACTTCCCTAGAACAAGAGCAAAGCCAGTCCTGTCTTGATGGAAACTCAGATTGTCAACAGGGTTAATTAACCAAAACATGCATTTCTCTGCCATCCTGAGGGAGCTCCAACTTAGAGGATGCACAGGAAACTCAGCAGCTGCCAGGGAAGCTTTTAATGCAGAAAACTGAGCTGCCTTTTAGTATTAACTTCAGAGAACTGTTAGCGGGAGCTGAGTTTTACAGAAGAGCTGGAGAGCTCCAGTGTGGAATGTTACCCGTGGCTTTGTGTCAGGCAGACTCGGAAACACGAAGGGAAAAGCAGCTGGAGTTTGTTTTCACAGCGTAACTGATTTTCCTATTGCTCCTTCCTGCATCAAATGCTCATTTTGAGTTATCAGTGCCTCAGGGAAAGAGAAAGCCAGCATGGTTATACCTGTGTCCTACAGGATTTGGGGATAATCCCACTGAAAAGGCTAGTTGTACTCAGAAACAGGATCAGCAGTTTGGCCAAGAGTTGTCCGGGTTAGACTGGGACCCTTTTCCTGAGTGCAGGCAAACCTTTGGAAGGCCAGGGGAAAGAATTCCCACCTTGGAGGTGCTGCTCTTGCTACTGCTCTGGGAAGAGACAACTCACTTCAGAACTGACCCCATGGGTGATGGAGCCCCAAAATAACTTTAGAACTGACTCCATGGGTGATGGAGCCCCAAAATAACCTCAGGACTGACCTCTCAGGTGAGGGACCCCCAAACCCATCTCAGAACAGACCCCAAGCTCCCAAATCCATTTCAGAACTGCTCCTCACTTGCAGCTGGTGCTGTTGTGGGTTCCCCACTTTGTCTCCCCAACCCGGCCCCCCCTCACCTCACAGGGCCTCCTGCCAGGCCGGGGGTCCTTCTACTGTGCCCCCTGCGCCGGGGCTGCTGGAGCTTTCCCTGTTCCCACCTGCCTGGGGAGGTAGAACAGTCAGAGCCGTCCGGACCCCCGGGGTCTGACCCCCCACCAGGAGTCACCCACCCCTCGCCCCAGCCCCCCCGGGGCTCTGCCACAACACCCATCCCAAACCACAGCTCCCCTCAAAGCGGGGGGCGCCCCTTCCCATTCACCATCCCAAAGGAATGAGGGGGATCCACTGGTCACCCCTCCCCCCCAAATTCCCTCCGGACTCCCCCCGCCCCTCCTAGACCCCCTTTCTCCAGGGGCGCCCCCCTACCCCGGTCCCCCTCCGTGGCCGCCCCCTCTCCCCCCTCCGTCCCGCCGGGGCCGCCCCCGCCCCGCGCCCCCCCCCCCCCGCGGTGCCCAGGCCCGCCCCCCCGTGCCCGGCGCTAGGCCGCGGCGGCGCGGGTGAGGTCTCACCGGCGGGCGGGATCCAGGGGGTCCGTGTGCGGAGCGGGGCCTGGCAGGGGCGGTGCGGGGGCGGCGGGGCCGGCGGGGCAGGGGGGGCGGCGCGGGGCGGGCGGTGGAGCGGCCTCTACTCGCGGCGGCGCAGGGCAGCCATGGCGTGACGTCATCCGTGCGCGACGGGCCCGGCGCCGGTTGGGGGGGGGGGAAGGCGGGAGGGGAAGGGCGGGGAGGCGCGCGCGCGCGACTTTACGGGGGCCGCGCCTTAAAGGGGCCGCGCACGGTAAGGTCGGGGGGGGGACGCAGGGGGCGCGCACGGACGTGCGGGGGCGCGCACGCGGGCGCTTGGAGGGGCAGAGATGTGCGTGAGCGCGCAGGGAGCGAGGGGCAGACGCGGCTATTCAGGTGCTCGGGAGCGCGCACACGTGCACAGAGGAGGGATGCACACATGTGGCTGTACAGGCGTGCAGGGATGCGCGAACACGCACACACACGTGCGCATACGGGTGCACATACGTGTGCGCGGACATTCGTGGGTGCACACAGATGCACTTGGAGGGGCATAGATGCTTATGGGTGCGCACGCGGGGTGTGCGTGGGTGCGCACTCGTGCACGCGGGGAGGGGGCACACGTGTGTGCACGGACGTGCAGGAGGTGCACATACATGTGCACAGCTGTGCATGGGCACACAGGCACGCGGAGGGACAGAAAGGTGCCCGGGTGCCCACACGTGCACACAGGGAGCGGCACACGTACATGTACAGATGTACATGGGTGCACACACGCATGTTCACATAGGGAGGGAGGCACATGTGCGTGCACAGGCGTGTGTGGGTGCACGTCCAAGTGCAGGCGTGTGTGTGCAAACGTTCATGGGCACACACGCATGCACATGGAGGGGCAGAGAGGTGCGTGGGTGCACACACACATCCACACAGGGGGGGCACACGTGGCTGTACGGATGTCCGTGGGTGCACACACACCCACATCTGTGGACACACCCCTGCACATCTGGAGGGGATGCACATGGGTAGAACACGGGTGTACCTGGGGACAGCCATGTGCAGGGACATGTATGAACATGGATGCACGCATGGTGTGCCCACGCGAATGTGTGTACTGGGAGGGAACTCACTGGGGACACTGGGAGGGGCTCAGTGGGGGCCCTGGGAGGAGGCTCGCAGGGGCACCAGTTCCGATCCCTCCTCACCGCCCCAGCAGTGACACACTGGCCCCTGAGGGCGCCCAGAGGGGATTGGCTGAGGCAGGAGGGGAGTGGCCGGGTGGGAGGAGTGTCTGTGACAGGTATATAAGGTGAGGTGGGAGGGATGGGGGGTGATCCGGGAAGAGAGGTGTTGATTTGTGCTGCAGGTGAGGGACGGGGACGGGGACGGGGACGGGGACGGTCCAGGTCCAGGTCCGTTGGACCCCCTTATGAGGGCCCTGGCTGGAGCCCCCCAGCAGGCGCCTGGCTGGATACATCTCTTGGTCTGCAGGGTTGGGGGTGCTCCCAGGGGTGTCTCTGACTCCCAATGCCCTGGCTGTCCCTGCTGAAGACCCTGGGGTGTAAACACATCCCAGTGCTGGTGTCTCACCTTTGCTCCAGTGCTGACTCAGGGCGCCGCGTGTCCCTTTGCGCAAGAGTTGTGCTGGCAGGGGACTCTGTCCGGGCGGGCACCGCCGGCCAAAGGGCAGGAACAGCCCCTGTAAAGGCTGCGGGACCAGAGCTGAGCACAGGAAGTGCCACTGGGAAGGTCTTCTGGAGCAGAGAGGAGTGAGAGGTGTTGGTGGGAAGAGGTCTCCTGGAGTGGACAGGACCACCCTTGCCCAGGGCTGAATTCTTCCTCCCCACAGGCTGCTCCGTGCTCCTGGCAAAGATGGATTATGCCAAATCCCTGAGCCAGCGCCTGGCTGCCCCCGTCTCCAGGTAAGTCCCATGGAGCCACTGTTCCCAGGACTGGGGACACCACAGCCCTCCCTGCTTTGGCACCCCTTTACTCCCCGAGTGCTGCTCCCCATGGAGTCCTGGGGTGCCGGGAGACAGTGATGGAACTCAGGACACTGCAATCCCTGTATCCCTCCCCAGATGTGTCTCAGCAAGTGCCTCCATGACCCAGCAGCTCCTGGCAAGCCCGGCCCCGCCGCCCCGGCCCTTCCGTGTGTGCAACTGGGACCGGAGCCTGCGCAAGGGTATCATGGCCTCGAGCCTTGCTGAGCTGGTCAAGCAGGTGAGCTGGGGGTCTGTCTGTCCAGGGTCTGTCTGTCCCAGGTGGGAGGTGGGCTGGCTGCCCCCAGCCCTGCTCACCCCCAGGCCCCCTGCAGGCTCAGAGTGCCTTGGCCATGCCGGGTCCCATCTCGCTGGTGCTGGATGAGGATGGAACTGTGGTGGAGACAGAGTCGTTCTTCCGGACGCTGGAGGAGGGCACGGTGCTGATGGCCCTGAGCAAGGGGCAGAGCTGGGCTGCCCCCAAGGTGAGTGGACCCCTGGGAAAGGAGAGCGGGAGGCTAGTTTGTCCTGTCTATCCCACGCTGGGATCAGGTGGGATGCTTGGTGAGGTGGGAGTGGCAGGGTGGGGTGCCACTGGGTGTGACCTGCTCTCCCCAAGGCTCCTGGCCCCCAGCTGAGTCTCTCTATCCCATGCTGTGATCGGTGGGGAGGTGGGACTGGGAGGGTGGTGTAACACTGGGTGATCGTGGCCCCATTCTCCCCAGACTCCTGGCTACCAGCTGGGCCTGTCCCGCAAGCCCCCTCGGAAGATCGATGTTGCCTGTGTCACCTTTGACTTGTACAAGACCCACCCGAGGGACCCAGGCTGCCTCAACGTCAAAGCCACCCTCTATGGCACCTACAGCGTGTCCTACGACCTGCAGTGCTACGGTGCCCGGCGCCTCATGAAGTGAGTGTTGTGGGGCTGGGATGGCTCTGGAAGTGGGGACACTGCCCACCCTGCTCCGTGGGGTGCCAGGAGGGACACTCGCTCACTCCCTTTCTCCCTGCCCAGGGAAGCTCTGCGCTGGACACTGTTCACCATGCAGGCCACAGGCCATGCCCTGCTCGGCACCTCCTGCTACATGCAGCAGCTCCTGGATGCCACCGAGGAGCAGAAGGAAGGGGAGAATAGCCTGGCACTGCCCAACCTCCTGCCCCGCAGCCTCCCAGCCCTGCCCTCCAGCCTCCCAGCCCTGCCCCGCAGGAAGATGCTGCAGTGAGGGCTGGGTGTCCTGTCCCCCATCCCACTAGGTCAATGCCTGGGGCGGTGCCCACCATAATCTCTCCTTGCACTCCGCTGGCTGAGCGGGGCCAGATCTGCTCTGGAATAGCTGCTGCTCTGTAAATATATTTATTTAAATAAAGTTTTCCTGAATTCAGCTGCATCTTGTGTCATCTTTGTGGGGGGGACACACAAGACACTCAGCCCCTTGCACTACTTGGCACTCAGGGGTGCTGCTGTAAGAGCATGTGAGGAGGGGAACTGTTGCAAACGCTTCCCAAGGGAGCTGCTGCCTTTGCCCTCCTCCCTGGCACCCAGAGCCTGGCTCCCACCTCCTGGCACAGAGCCGAGACCCCTCCAGCATTGCAGACAACCACGAGAAGGGGATGGGGCAAACCCCAAACCCACTGGCCTGGAGCAGCTGGCACCAAGCCTGTTCTTGCTCCATTTGAAGGGATGAAAGGTGTCCCTGCTCCTTCAGACTGTCAAGGATTGGCACAGAGGGACACTGCCCCGGTCCTGGAGGGGGTGTTCCAGTCTCTGGGGCCCTCAGCCCCCTTGGCAGCCCTGTGCAGGGAAAGCTGCTGTAACCCACCAGCTTTGCACAACCCCAGGTGCTGGTGCTGCCCTGGCCACGTCCATGGGGATCACACAACTGCCCAGCAGCTCCAGGGATACCAACCGGGAAACAAACAGAGCTGGGGGCACTGGGTTCCATCAACCTGGCTCTTGGGGATTGTCCTTGAGAGGGGATGGGGAGCCCAGAAGGGTCCCTAAAGCACAATCCCTGCCAGACAGGGCAGGATGATGGGGAACAACCCACTGCTTGCCTGTGCTTACTGGGAAGCACTGGGAGCTGTGGGGAGGTGAGAAGCCGTGCTCTGGGGGTCCTTAGGGACATTCTCCCCCCGACACACTGCAGGAAACTCATGACCTGGGCCACGCTCACCTGGGCATCCACCGCGGGGGTCTGGAGCTCCAGTGCAGGAACTGCTGGTGTGGGAGAGACCTGAGCCCCACCTGCAGCTGTGGGAGCTTAATTAGCCTGATAATTAATGAGCCATCAGCCTGCAGCCAGCACCAGCTGCACCCAGTCTGGGGGTGGCTGCATTGCCCCATGGCACAGATGTGTGACCCCCCCCGGGGTGATGTAGGTGCCACCAAGGGGTGCCAAGGACAGTGTGGGGACATCATGCCCTGCCCTGCTATTGCCACTGTCCCCATTCCCTGTCCCCATGGGGTGACAGTGGCCATGCCAGCCCCTACAGTGTCCCCCACCCTCACACAGGTGTTTATTAGACATATTTATTTCTGTACACACTTATACACACGGTTCCCAGGGCAGCTCCATCCTCGCCCCCAGTGCTGTCTCCATGCAGGGTCCGCTCTGCAGTGGGGGCATCCCCATGTTTTCCAGGGTCTGGACATGCCATACCCCCCATCCCAACCCTGTAGTGTCTACCTGGGGGCAAAGCCTCCCCACAGCCCCCAGGGCAAGGTTGTGCACTTTCCCCCTGCCTCAGTTTCGGGGCAGAGGTGGGGGCTGACCCCCCTCAGCACCACGCTCTCCACCACAGGGTCCTCAGACCCCCAAGCCGGGGTGAAGTTTGGGGCTCCAGATGCTGAAGCTGCCCCAGAAGAGCCTCCTGGGGGTCCTCTCCCCCCCATCAACCCCTGCAAGGGAGGGGTGTCAGGCACCGGTCCCCTGTCCCCCAGCCCCTGTAGCCCCCCGAGCAATGGCGGGGGGCATGGGGGGGTTACTTGACGTGCTCGGCAGCGTGGGAGGAGCAGTAATATTTCTTGTGGGCGATGAAGGTGGAGAGGCTGCTGAACTTGATGTTGCAGAGGCGACAGTACCTGTGGTTGCCATTGGGCACGGGGCCAGGCACAGCCTTGGCCGGGGGGGTCTGCACCCCCCTGTCCGTGTAGGCGGGGGGCGTGGGGGGCTTGCGGGCAGCTTCCCGCAGTGCCTCGGGGGCTCCGGGCGAGGCGGGGGGCCGGGGGGATGCGGGGGGCCGGGGGCTGCCGCCGCTATCCTGGCCCTCCTTGGCACTGCAGCTGTCCCGGCGGAGGCGGGGGGCAGGCGGGCGAGGGGGTGACGTCGCGGGCAGAGGGGGCTCGGGTGTCCTGCTGGCACCAGGGGCCAGGGCATCGGGGACCCCCTGCCCAGCTGCCACTGGCTTGGCCACGAAGAGCCCGTGGGCATTACGGAAGTGCTCGAGGAGGTCGCCCTTGATGGCCCCGTTGAGGGGACAGTAGGGACAGGCAGTGAGAGGTCCCTTTGCCGCCGGGGGTGGCAGGGGACTCTTGGGGTGACGCTGCAGTGAGTCCACCCCGGCATAGGGGATGCCGGGGCTGCCCGCTGGGGCCGCCCTCACCCGCACACCTTCAGGGTCCCCCTCACTGGGGCTACCGGGGCTGTGCTGCCCCTTAAGGGGGACGGGCATGGCCCCCTTCATCTTCTGGAGGTGCTCGAGGGTGCGGGGCTGCAGCGGGGTGGCTGGGCACTGGTACTTCTTGTGCACCAGGTAGGTGTTGAGGCTGTTGAAGCTGATGCGGCACGCGGTGCACTCGTGGTAGTCAGCCAAGGGCAGCATTGGTGCCGGAGCCGGTGCCGGTTCACTCTGCCACCGCGGCTTCTTGCTCAGGTCGATGGGACCCTCGGCATCGGGGCTGGCATGAGGCGAGGGGGCAGCACCTGCTGGGTCGGGGGCCGGCGGTGGGTCGGGGGCCGGTGGGGGCTCGGCGGGTCGATGAGCGGCCCCGTGGATCTCGTAGAGCTTGCGGCGCTTGCGGGTGCGCAGGGGCTGCGGCAGGAAGGGCACTTTGGGGGCAGCGGGGCGGCGCAGGGGGGGGTCATGGCGGGAGGCACAGTAGAAGCGCTTGTGCACCACGTAGGTCTCGTGGCGGCTGAAGCGGATGTTACAGGCCTCACACAATGTCTTGCTGGGGTCCTCGTCCCCCTCGTCCCCCGCCGAGCTGCCGGGGCTCTGGCTGTCCTCGCTGCATCGCCCAGATCCCCCCTCTGCCTCGGGGGACCCTGCTTTGCCACCCCCCTCTTCTGCCTTCACCTCTGGCACAGTGGTCAGTGGTGTGGCATCGCGGCCAGCGTCCCCATCCCCTGCTGGTGTCCCCTGCCCGTTGCCCACCGTGGGGGACAGCAGTGTCCCCGGGGCAGGAGGACCCTTGGGTGCCCCAGGGAGTGCTTTGAGCTTGCGTGCCCCGGGTGGGCTGTCCTCAGCCAGGTGCCGGCTGGAGCAGTACAGGCGCTTGTGCACGTAGTAGTTGTTGATGTTGTTGAAGGTGATCTCGCACTCAAAGCAAGTGGCACCCTTGGGCACTGGTGTGCCTGTGTAGATGGTGGGTGGCACTGTGCCCCCGTGGCCCTGCTTCAGCCGGTTGTGCACCAGCTCTGACATCTTCGCCAGGATTTCCGATGCCTGCGGCACCACTGCGGCTTCATGGCCGAACACGTACTGGGGGAGGAAGACGGTGCCACCAGCCGTGCCTGTCCCTGGCTCGCTGGGCACCGGGCTGGAGCCTGGCGTGGGGCTGGTGAGCTCTGACTTGACCTTGGCCGAGGGCAGGCTGCGGGGGGACGAGGTCCGGGAGCCAGCATCGGGGCTGCCAGCCCCCTCCCCGCTTTTCGGTGCCTCCGTCTCGCTCGCTGGGCTGCCGGCAGGCTCCTCCTTGATGCGGACAGTCTCGCCAGAGGTGGAGGAGGAGGAAGAGGAGGATGATGCTGATGAAGGCCCTTCCCCATTCTGTGGCTGGGCTGGTGGTGAGAGTTTGCCAGCCCTGGCATCAGGGGGCGAGGCAGGCGGTGCTGGGGGCAGTGTGGCGTCGGGGCCAGGCGGGGGGCCGGGTGGGGGGCCGGGGAGCACCATGTGCTGGGGCAGCGCCGGTAGCCCCTCGGGCAGGAACGCTGGCAGGCTGCACTTCCGCAGGGACGCATTGTTCGGCTGGCTCAGCCCTGCCAGGGGACAGAGGCACCAGTGTCACTGACATCCCGGCACAGAGATGCTGCCCTGACCTCTGTTACCCACACCCCTGGCACAGGGATGCTGCCCCATCCCCTATTACTGACATCTCCGGCACAGAGATGCTGCCCTGTCCCCGATTCCCAGCGCCCCTGGCAGAGGGATCCTGCCCCATTTCCCATTCCCAATATTTCTCACACAGAGATGCTGTTCCGTTCCCAACATCCCAGCATAGGGATGCTGCCCTGCCCCTGTTACCAACACCCCTAGTACAGGGATGCTCACCCTCTTCCCCATTCCCAACACAGGGACACTGTCCCATTCCCACCTCCCTCTCTGCCACCAGAGCCTGTTGGGTACAAGGCCTCAGTGCCAATGCCATCCCAAGTGCCCTGTGGCCGCAGCTCCAGCACTCACCAGGAGCGACGGGTTTGGCAGCAGGAAGGGCTGATCCAGGGGAGAACACCTCGCCCTTGGAGCCCGGCTGGCAGATCATGTGGTTGGTGACCAGGTGGCTGTACAGGATGTCCCTCGTGGTGGAGATGAAGCCGCAGCTGTGGCAAACACCTGTTGGGGACACGGTATGGGCTGAGCGGGCACCTGGCAGGGTGGGAAGAGCCAGTACCCATCCCCAGGCTGTGCCAGAAGGGACAGCGGCGTTCCCATGGGAACACTCACCATTCAAGGTGTCCGTGTGCACCTTCAGGTGCCGCTCACAGTTGGCTTTGGTGGTGAAGGCGGACAGGCAGATCAGGCAGACGAATGGCCGCTCTCCTGTGGGACACACGAACGCTCAGGAAGGGCGACGGGGACCACAGGGACACCCCACAGGGCCAAATCCCTCCATCTTTACAGGGCTGAGATGGTGGAAGACGTACAAGCGAGCTGCCCCAAACCAGTGACCCAAATGGGGAGAACCTCATCAAACTGGTCACCGTGCTGCCGCCCCACAGCCTCCCTGCCCCTCCACCCAGATGAGAGGTGCCGTGCCATGCCATGCCATGCCATGCCATACCGCTGTGGCTGCGCATGTGGATCTCCAGGGAACTGGCACTGGGGCAGCTCTTCTTGCACTGGGGGAAGGGGCAGACGCGCTCGTTGGGATACGTCTCCTTGGGCTTCTCATCCAGGGCCGGTGAGCCAGCGCTGGCGCTCTGCCGGCTGGCACAGTAGTACA